TGTCAGGCTTCCTGAGAAGAGAAAGCAATGCATAAAAATTCTCAGGCTCCACAGTGAACTCTCCTGAGCTCCAGGCTGGAATTTACAGCTGCCTGTAGACATCTCCATCTGCATGTCCTGCAGGCACAAGGCAGTATGTCCCAGACCAAATTAATTACCCTCCCACATACCCGGTCCCCCTCCAGGCTCCTATCTAGGTTAGTACCAGTGCCAATTTATCAGGTACAAAGTTTAGAAATTTAAGGTCTTTGGCTGATTCCACACGCCTCAAGATCAATCTGCTGCCAAAGGTGGGTTGTGCCATGATGTAATCTGTTTTGTGGACGTGAACATTTCTTTCCTTTGGTGAGGATCCTTCTCTCTTTTTCGAATGATCTATGTAGCTCCTCTCCAGAGATTCCAGAGTACTGCCCTTGCAGAAAATTCTTGTCTTGAAGGAACTAAATGAGAGAGCTTGCCTGAGCACGGTTAACGGGGGCAGCCGTTTCTCTGCTTCAGATTCTCACCTGCCTTACCAGTTAATTTCCGAAACTCTGGTCTCCTTCTGAAAATACCTTATTGAGTTATCATAACTCAATATTGAACTTGCAGAGCGCATAAAACCCAACACTTCACACATTTCTTTAATCTTTTTTTTTTTTAGCTTTTTTGGGTCACACTGGCAGTACATAGGAGTTACTACTGGTTCATACACTCAGGAATCACTCCTGGCCGTGCTTGGGGGACCATATGGGATGCTGGGAATCTAACCTAGGTAGGCCGTGTGCAAGGCAAAGGCCCTACCCGCTGTGCTATTGCTCCAGCCCCTAATCTTATTTTTTCATACATGCTCTGAGTACCTCCAACAGGTCTTATGCCCCTCCCCCAGGCATCCCCAATAATTTGTCTACCTTTAAAAATAATTTTAGTCAGTATGATTTATAATTTTATAGTGCTATCAATGATAGACTTGCATGAACATAACATTCCAACACTACACCCTTACCACACCTTTTTACCTTTGTCATTGTGTCCCCCTTAACTCCCCTGACTCCCATATCATATCAACACTATCCCCCTCACCTCTCACCACTCAGTGCCATGGTAAACTAAGTTCTGTAGACCAGTTCTTTGATTCTCGTGTTCTGAACTTTTAAAAAATCCCCTCACCATTCGGATTTTTGTTTTCTTTTGTTTTGTTTTTGCTTTTTGGGCCACACCTGGCAATGCACAGGGGTTCTACTGGCTCTGCACTCAGGAATTACTCCTGACAGTGCTCAGGGGACCATATGGGATGCTGAGAATCGAATCCTGGTCAGCCTCATGCAAGACAAACACCCTATCCGCTGTGCTATCGCTATAGCCCCTTACTATGCGGTTTTATATCCTACCTCTGAGAGAGGTCATTCCGTGTCTCCCTCTCCTGGCTAAATTCACCCTACATGATACCCTCCAGTTCCATTCACATAGTGGTTAATTACACGATTTCATCTTTTATTATACCCAATTAGTTTTGAGTATATAGACTATAGTTTTCTTTGTCCCAATCATCTATTCATCGACACTTGGGTTATTTCCAGATTTGGGCTGCTGTGAATAAGGTGCAATGAACATTTTCATTTCATTTCATTTCATCATCCTGTTATTCGTCGATTGCCTCGAGCAGGCCCCAGTAACGTCTCTTTCATCCTAGCCCTGAGATTATATTCAAGGCTATTTAGGAGAATGAGACCCATCATTGTTACTGGTATCTGGCATATTTGGTACGCCACGGGGAGTTTGCCAGACTCTGCCCTGTGGGCAGGCTACATTCGATAGCCTGCAAGTTTTTCCAAAGTAGTAATGAGACAATAAGATGTCATTAAAAAAAAAGTTCTGATAAGATGTCGCGCGGCCGCGAATGCAGCCGCGCGGTTCCGGAATCTGGATTTTATAGTCTCTGAGTCTTGGCCGCTGATGGGATTACACGGCGCCAGGGGGCCAGGTGGTGGGTGTGACCCCCGCCTACTGGAATTTGGAGGATCTGGGTGGAAGATGCTCGACTCCAATTCGAGTAGGCTTGGAGGTCTCGGCCCCGGAACCCGCGTGGCTTTGTCCCTCTGCCAGTACCTTCATGTGTGCGGAGAGTGGTCTCAGCATGGTGGTGGCTGGTCCTGGAGGTCTTCGGCTGCCGGAGCCCTGGTCGGGGTGGGGAGGAAAGCTCAACCTGCTCCCCTCCAAGGGGCTCCGGGAAGGAACACTCAACGCGGGGGCAGAAGACTGCACTGTTCTCGTCCGGAATCTGGATTTTATAGTCTCTGAGTCTTGGCCGCTGATGGGATTACACGGCGCCAGGGGGCCAGGTGGTGGGTGTGACCCCCGCCTACTGGAATTTGGAGGATCTGGGTGGAAGATGCTCGACTCCAATTCAAGTAGGCTTGGAGGTCTCGACACTTGGGTTATTTCCAGATTTGGGCTGCTGTGAATAAGGTGCAATGAACATAAGGGTGCAGATATCTTTTCTGAATAGAATTTGGGGTTCCTTGGTGTAGATGCCCATAAGTGAAATCACTAGGCTATTCGAAAGGTCAATTCTTAGTTTTTTTGACAACTGCTCATATTGTTTTCCAAACTGGTTGGACCAGTCAACACACTCACCAGCAATGGATGAGGGTCCCTTTATCCCCACATCCATGCCAATACTGGCTGTCCTTTGTTCATTTTGACTTGTCTAGTCTCACTAGTGTGAGGTGATATTATTGTTTTGATTTGCATTTTCCCGATGATAAGTGATTAGAGTACTTTTCCATATACTTATTTGCTATTAATGGCTTCTTCAAGAAGTTTCTGTCAATCTCTTTAAATTTTTAGTGAAGCTGATATAGGCAAGTAGACAGGGAAGTCCCATGGCAACGCAATTCCTAGGATGCAATAAAACCACCTACCCTTAAAGCCATCAGGGCCCATCTTGTGAGCAAGGACCTAAGACCTGATAAGACTTTCTCCTGACACCAGTAACACACGCAGAGAAGGCTGGACCCCACACTGAGAGAAGCACCAGTAGAAACAAAAGGCCAAAAAAGGAATTTCAAAGACAATTGACCAATCCCAAATAAACTCCCTAACAACAGACTTTTCCTTAGGTAGAAGCCCCACGTCAGGGCAGTTTGGGAAAGGCCCTATAAAAGCCACCTTGAACAAAGGAAGGGCTCACACGTGCTGCCAGAGCCCATGTGCTCCTTGTGCCCACGTGGCTGAGCTTGCGTGAAGCCCTCATCTTCCCTCTTGAGACGTGCACTTTCCTATCTAATGCCCAGGTCTGTGTAGGAGCTCTTTCCACCTTTGGAAAAGCCTGCATTCTTTCTCTCTCTCCATCCCCTTCCTAAAAATCTCTAAATAAAATCGGTTTTACTTCACTGCTCATCTACTCCCAAAATTCTTTTCTGCGTGGCAAGACAAATTGGGTCCCAGGGTGGCAGAGGCAGATAGGGAGAAAGTGACTATCTCTCTCCTCCTTGCCTCACATAAACCACCCGTGGGGTCCACTCACTTCAAAGTTGTCTGTTTTTCTTTGTTAATATTTACAAATGCTTTACATCTCGGATATTAACCCTTTGTCAGAGTTGTGTCTTTTTATTCTGGCCATTTCTCTTGCAGTGGAAAGCATCTTAATTTGATATAGTCTCAATGGTTTATCTTTTCTACTTTCGCGTTGCCAATGACATTGAATCATTAAAGATTCCTTTGGAGTTGATAGACTTCAAGACATCTAATCTTTAATAAAAGGGCTAAGAGTATGAAGGAAAGACTCTTCGGCAAATAGTGTTGGGAAAACTGGTCTGTCAAAATATGAACTCAAATCCTTATCTACCACAAAGTCAATGACACAAAGTCAAATGCACAAAGTCAATTACAATAAATTAAAAACCTTGATCTCTGACTCGAATCCATACGGTATATTAAGGAAGATACAGGCAGAACTTTTAGTGTATATATATACCTTTTAACTTTAGCATGCTCATGGAATGTTCTTTGTGAGCTAACTAGGTTCCACTCTACCTATTTGATTCAACATGAACGTCAACTGCTCTGTGTAGCTGCCTAAATTTCACTGTTCTCAGTTTCCTATCCTAAGCAAGGCCCAACTCCTTTTTCCTTTATCTGTGGTTAGCAAAAGTGTCTCTGAGCCAGATTTCACAGTATCTGAGTCCAGAAATCATCTTTTGTCATTTCTATATTGACAGGGTACTCTGAATGGGTTATTAACCATTCTAAAAATAATCTTAACTTTCAACTTTTGAAAATGGTGATTTTACATCCAAAAGTTTCTAAAAATTCCCAGCCAAACAGTGAACAATATACCCAAACAGTGAACTCCCTCGGCTCCACCATATTAAATACACTATTTAAAGTTCCTTGCAGTTTTATTATTCCAGGTGCACAGCTACTATAAGAGGCCTTTGTAAACCACTGCCATAAATGTCATTTATTCTCACTGAGCAATTACATTATATATAAAAATGATTGTCTAAATTTATGTTGACTATCCTAGAGTATTAAATCAGGTATTATATCAACATATATGAAGTCTAAAAATGTAAAAGACAGCTTTTTCTTTAAAATGGAGTTCAACACAAAACATGCTTGTTTCCCTGATCATAAGATCCAACAAAAACAAACTAAATTCTAATCATCATCAATAAATTCAAATAATAATCAGAGACCAAATAATAATCAAATAATAATTCAATTACTTGGGCATTTTAGGTGAAATTGTGGAGAGTTTGGGTGATAAAGAAATTGTAAAAAGGGAAGTTTAAGTTGAGGTAGAACAAGTGATTTACTCAGTTTTCAAATATTTTACTCAGTTGTCAATGTCAAATATTATATTCCTTTTACTTGTTTTTTTGAAAAAAATTAGATCAAGATATAAAATTATTGAAGATAAATGAAAATATTTATATTTTCAGATTATATTGAACCGCATTATTATTTTCTCTAAATTTAAAAAATAGGCATTTTTTTCTCTTTCTTTGGTGAGGGTACATACTCTTAACAATTATTTTCAGAATCTGGAAATTGTTATTATCTTACTCAATTTTCTCCTTTTGTTAATTGCTTCAAGTGTTAAAAATATTTGCAATGCATAAAGTTAGACACCAAATATTATGCTCTAGAAAATATTTATTGACACATTTTCTTTCCATTTTACACCAAATATTATGCTCTAGAAAATATTTATTGACACATTTTCTTTCCATTTTTTGAGAAATAAACATAATACACAAACTACAGTAAAATGCACTTTTCCCATTTCAAATAAATATATTTTACTCTTGTAAAAAAATTTCACAATTGGCTTAATTCACCACAGTATCTTAATTACTGAAATAAAGAAAAAAATCTCAGTAAGTTGTCACTTATTTTTAATGATTCCCATAGCATATTTCTGGAGAAAGAGAACAACTATTCTTTGAAGAATTATATTCAGACTTGAAAATTGTTGCTTCTTGTTTGGAAAGGGCAAAGATAAGTTCTTTTTTAAAAAAGTGTTTGTGTCAAAAAGACTTAAGGATAAAGGGGGCATTCAAGTCTTTGCTGAATAAACTAAGTTATAAGTAAACTTTCTTGTTAATACTTCCTAGAGACCATACTACATTCTGAATTATAATGATTCTTTTGTATCACACTGGTAAATTTTCAAAATTAGTGGTTAACTATTTAAATTAACAGTTCTGTATGTAATATAAACTCAAGACAGATTTTTAAAGCTCTATCAACAGAAAAGTCTGAAACAATGATACTATACAGGACAAATTTATCCTTTTCACACTGTTATTCTCAACATTATAAGAACTGAAATATACTGAATTATACAGACTTAACACAAACTCTTATATACACACAGATCCCTGATCAGTTTAAGACATGTATTAGTTTGTTCTTGTAAGTAGTAAGAATATTTTAGTAACCAACAAAAATCACATTTAGGTAGTCACCAATATTCAGAGTTTTCTCATATATAATCTATCCACCCTCAAAAAGAATATATCAACAATTAATAAAATTCATTAGTATTGTCTTTAACTTCCTATGTTAGCAATTAATACTTTATATACTAACACGCATATGGAAGGAAATCAAACTTCATTGTAACTCTAATCCCACCATAGCACAGCTCCGTTATTCGAATGCAGAATTGCCAGTCAAACTAAGACAAAACATAAGCCTCAGTCCACTGCTATAATCAGTTTTTAATTTTACACAGATCATACATCTGTCCCCGGCATTACAAAAGGCATTATTATTTTCTGGGTGTTGTTTTATAATATAGAACTTTTCCCTCATCATATAATGTATTCAAAATTTTTTGATTGGGAATACCCTGCATGTTTGAGGGCTACTCCCAGTGGTTCTGAGAGGCTCAAGCAGTACTGGAATTGGAACCCCAAAGTCCCACAGAGTAAAGAATGCACTCCAGCCCTTCGAGCCCTCTCTCATAATTTTGTTTTCTTCTCTTTTTCTTTTTCAGTGTAAGGGTAACGCCTGGAAGTACTCAGGATTTACTCCTGACTCTGTGCTCAGGGATCAGGGTTCGGTATCGGGTGACGGGAACTGAACCCAGATCCGCCACACGCAAGGCAAGCTCCTTACTCTTTGTATCTTCTCTCTAGCCCCTCCCTCTTCATTTTCAAGGGCAGAAAATTATGCTTAGACATCCTTTCCTGGGAACAGTTTTGTTTCTACACATATCTGAAAACAACAGAGAAGTCTGTGCTCAAAAATCCACAAGTCTAACAGAAGAAAACTGCAATTTTCCTTCTTTGGACTCTCTATTCTACAATTCCTCCATTTCGAAGTGTGTGTTAAAGCTGTTTGCCATGGAGGTGTGCTCAAAGATCCTAGACAGGCTTGGCTTCAACAGTTCTACTGAGTGGCATGGCAGGTGCTGAGTGGTGTCATTCTTCAGGGACATCATCTGCTCTGTCCCTGGCTCCCTTCTATCATAATAGAGAGCCCAGAGTAGAGTAATGGTGAGAATCATGGCCAGGATCTGGGTTACGCCAATGGAGATTCCCAGAAACCTGAGCACTTGCAGTTGTTTGGTTCCTCTCAAAAAGGAATACATTTTCTTCCCACAACCCTGCAAAAGAAATATCACAGTATCAGTTTGGGTGTTTGACAGAGGCTGAAAAATAGTGAAAACAATCTGCATTAGTTCATTAAGTGAAACCACTTCAGTTAGAAACTTTAACGATAAAAAACCTTTGACTCTCTCATTTCATTTTATATTATTTTATTTTTCTGTTTAGGGGTCCCCAGTTGGAAGTGCCTAGGATTTACTCCTGGCTCTGTGCTCAGGGATCATTCCTGGTAGGCTTGGGGTTCCATATAGGGTGCCAGGAACTGAACCAAGATTGGCCATGTAGAAGGCAAGCTCCTCTTTGTACTTCTCTCTGGCTCTTCACTTTTCACTTTTAGGTCATTATTTGAGGTCTTCATTTTTCAATGTGCAGGGGTCAGGGTGTGTGCCTGGCCCCAGTTCCAACTCGGGCACCATGCAGCCTAAGCATCACTGAGTGAGACCCTGGGGAGCAACAAGTACTTCCAGGTATACTGCCAGGTGTGGCCCTGGTGATCTCTTGTATCACAGGGCCTAAGTGCCGGACCATCAGCCTCACTGGCCAGATATGACAGGGAGTAGCCCCAGAACCCCCTAAACAGTGTGGGGACCCCCTAGGCTCCCTCAAAATTAGGTACTCCCAGCAGGGAATGATAATGAGAACTGGAGAAGCCAGTAGTAAGCACTTTTTGAAAAACCTACCCTGGAGATTGTGAGGAACAGTCGTATATATCAAGAATGTTTTCTGAATCTACTGTTGAAATATGTGAGTTGCTGGGAATCAACCCAACCCTCCCCTCCTAAAATACACACACATGTCTTTTGTCCTTTTGTTAGAGTTTTTGTTTGTCGTTTGTTTAGGGGCCACATCCAGGGTGATCAGGATTTATTTCTGGCTCTGGGCTCTGGGCTCAGGGATCACTTCTCACAGAAATAAACAATAATCTACTTGTTTATTTTGGGGTCACATCCAACTGTGTTCAGGATTTACATCTAAACTCAGCAATCACTCCTGGTGGGTTTTGGGGGGCTATATGGGATGCCAGGGATCGAACCCAGGTTAGTCATGTGCAAGACAAATGCCCTATGCGCTGTACTATCACTCTGGCTCCCAAGGGACCCATATGTGGTGCTGCTGATTAAACCCGAGCTACCATACACACTGTATTGTCTCTGATATGTTTTCATTAGTTGAGTACAAATGGTAAAGAGTGGCTATGGTAGATATAAAAGAGAATTCTTGAAGAAGAACAAAGCAAGTAGAAAGGGGGAATTTTAAAAAGCCACAGCCCAGTAAAACTGAAGAAGGAGGACAAAGAAAACAAAGTAGAATGCAAATACCAATCTTCAAAAGTCATCTGTCAGGTGACCCAAGAGTTCCAGCTACTTGCCCGGTCTCTAGTGAATTCACAGCAATGCACACTAATTCATTCCTCTAAAAGGAAATCGATTTTAAATTGAGGTGAGAATCGAGGAAATAATTTTGTGAGTATGTGAGTATGACACATTTCAAGAGTTTGAAAGATTCTGAGACTTTTCTCTACTGGGAAACTGAAAAAAAAAATAGCTTGCCATAGTTTCATAGATGCTAGTAGAAGACAGAGACAAAGGACTTTGTTACTTATAACAAGAATAGTAACCAGAATAAATGTCAGTTCCTCAAGTCCCAAGGGCAACATGAAGAAGGCCGGATGATACCTGGTCACACAGTGGTTTGCATTATGAGAGAGGAACATTAAGTAAGTGTAAGGAAATGTAATCTTATAATGGGCAGAAAGCATACCTATCCTTTGCACTGAAGACAGACATTATCTTTACCTCCCAGACATAAACAAACCTGCCCTTTTCTCTGGAGGGAGACACTATCTCTACTTTCAAGGCTCTATTCTGCACAAACAACTTTGAAAAGATAGTCCCGAATAAAGGCAGTCAGAGCCTCTCCTTGTAAGACATACAGAAATGCAAGAGATCCGTGGAAAACTATCTCCCTGCAAGAAATTCAATCTTCAAAAGAATTTACTCAGAGTTTAGGGGCAACGTGACTCACTGCTTACCCCACTGAGGCAGCTATTTAATTAAAAATGAAAGATAATTGCTTCCATTACTGCCTCCTTATTGTCTTATCCAGATTCCAAAAGGAACGAAATCAAGGAAAGCAGGCACACTAGGCCAGTCGTTAATGTGGGTATTTTGGGGGAGGGGAGGGAGATGATGACCCATAATTATTAGATTTATAGCTATTGAACAGTATTTGTCCAAAGACATAATTCTCAAGAAAAATTTTAAAGTCATATCAAACAAATCAACACATTTAAATAAATCCTGGGGTTCAGGTGAGCCTCCCAAACAGTGCTTAGGAGTCCTGGGTCCCCTTCTTGGCTAAGCAGGTAAGAGGTTCCATGCCTGAGAATTTGATTCTGCCCTGGCCCTGAGATGCTGGAGAGAGAAAGACCCTTGACTGGTGCTTAGGGGGCTTCCGGTACTGCACCCATCAATGCTTAGGAGATCATGCTATACCAAGGATCAACTGGGGTGGGCAGCATGCAAGGTATGCTCCTTAACTTTGGTCCTAACTCTCTAGCCCTCAACTTTTTCCCCCCGGCATAGCAGGTATGGCAATTAACAACAACAATGAAAATAAATTAATGAATGTTCATAAATTTTACCAGTTATAATTAAAATTATAATAAATTAATCATTCTTAACCCTGCCTTGATAAAATCACTTTGGTGGCCATCTTGTCTATTCAATAAGTACACAACTGTGGGCATATGTGTATGGCAAATACACATGGGTAACAAGAATAAATACAGTAGCACTGTTGTCCCATTATTCATCGATTTGCTCGAGCGGGCACCAGTGATGTCTTCATTGTTGTTACTGTTTTTGGCATATTGAACATGCCACTTGGAGCTTGCCAGGCTCTGCCATGCAGGTGGGATACTCTCGGTAGCTTGCCGGGCTCTCCAAGAAGGATGGAGGAATCAAACCTGGGTCAGCTGCATGCAAGGCAAATGCTCTACCCACTGTGCTATCACTCCAGTCCAAGAATAAATACAACAAAAATAATTATAGGAACAAAAATAGATACCACAAAGATAACTTAGCAAAGTTCCTACACTTCACAAGAGTCCCACTCATCGTCCATTCACCCAAATGTGCGTGTATGTGCAATTTTCACAATTATTCTCATATAATACCGCACAGAATGTAGCAGACAGGACGGGAGACAGTTCGATGCTAGAACTGGCATGTGCAGGATTCTGAGGTTAATTCTCAGCACTTCTGGCCGCCAAGCGCTAGCTGGTGAGGCCCTGGTGGCCTCCAGCATTGCTGTATATAGCACCATAAGGAAAAGAAAAGAAAAAGAAAATAGGAAAACAAGAGCCAAAATTCTGAATTCAACGCACTGTCTGACACTGATACTTTTCAGTAGTCTCTGGGGCTTAAGTTTTATCTCTAGGGTTTTTCCCAGTGGTGTTTACTCGGCTTCCTTATTCTAAGCTGGAAATAACTGTGCAAGAAAGGTAATATTTATTTTAATAATCTACAAATAAAAGAAAGCAGAAATTGATACCTAAACTACATTCTACTTGGTTTCAGATTTCGGCCTTGGTGAAAATTTCTTATTTTACTTTAAACAACCACTTTTTTTAAAAAAAAAAAAAAAGGATACAGTAAATTAAACCATGTAGGTTGATTAATAAATGAGTAATATTAACTAACATGGAATGTTCTAGAGGAAAGGGTCTTTGGAAATCAACGATGTCTCAACTGGCAGAGAAAGAATCTCTGATGAGTCTCTCCTCTTGGTGAGGAAAAACTCACCAACGTGGCCAAAATAGACTTTTTGAAATTCTAGAAATTAACCAGAGATTACATCAACCTGAAGAAAATCATCTGAATTTCAGGAAGAACTGCTAATTTTATGGCGTTTTAATGTTCCTTATTTACCATTCTCAAACTACCAAGTACATCTTTATCCCTTTCAGATATGAACTAGTCTTGAAATTCACGGTAAAAACCGGAGATCTGGAAGGCACCAGAGAAAAATGATTAGGTTTAGAGAGCATTCAAAGCTCTAGTCTCCAGAACTGTCATTATTTGTCTTAGCTTTGATTCCTTGGAAGACATCATGTATAAAGCTGTCTTTATTTGACCTGCCTTGCACTTCAAAAATAAGGGTCCACCCTTTTTTTTCTGGGGGTTTCTGTCAAAAGTGGTGCTAGATAACTGACACTGAGGGTGCCGGAGGCTGCCGGAGGCTGTGGATTTCAGCTGTGCACAATGGACTCGTCAAAAAGCTTTCAGTGAAAAGCATGAGAATGCAATGTCCATGGAGAGGTTGGCAAAGCTGATATATTTGTGGGAATCAAGAAAGATTCCAGCGAAGTCAGGCGGAGTCATGCCCTAGGCTGTGCGCATGCTCAGAAAAGACTTCAGAACCGCTAAAATCTCACCTCTGGCTAACCTTCAGGCTCTGTACTCCCTTGGCAAAGGCTAGGAGACATTGTTTATAGCCTCAAAGGAAACCTCTTCATTCAGGAGTCAACCACTAAACCAACTGAGCAGGAACCTCAGTGGTTACATCTGACAGCCAATGAACACATATCTTACAGAATTTTTTCCAAAAGACATTCATACAGAAACAATGGCCACAATAAACAACTAAATGAAGTGTGGAAAGAGTAGAGAATCTGATTTCCAGAGTAGCCACGTTATATTAAAATGCCCGGTTCCAACAACAGCAAATGACATGACATGTAAAGAAACAAGAAGTGTGGAACATAGAGGGGAAATAGGCTTCAGAGGAAACAGCCTCTAATGAGAATCATTCCCTGTCTCACTTGAGAGCCCTGTCCACACTGAGCTAAGTTTTAATGAGTGCTCCCTAGTTGGAACCTGCCTTCTTAATAGTGACCCTGGTTCCATTCCATACTAAACCAATCTCTTTTTCATAATAGAGAGTCGAAGTTGAAGTAATTGCTTGTCCTTTAACCGTTTTTTTTCCAGAGATTTTT